CCTTTGTCCCTATTTTCTCTATTTCTTCTTCTATCCTTCATTCCCCCTCTTTTTTCCACTCGTGCTTTCTATTTCTCCCCCCTCCCTCTCTCAATCCCTCTTCTTCTTTTCACACTTCTCCCTTTCTGCCCTCATCCTCTCTCCGAAACCTTCCATCCCCCTCCCTCACTTTCCCTCTTCCTCTCTACCCATCTCTCTCTCTCTCCTCATCCTCTCTTCCAAACCTTCCATCCCCCTCCCTCTCTTTCCCTTTTCCTCTTCACCCATCTCCCCCCCCCCCCTCTCTCTCTCCTCATCCTCTCTCTCTCTCTTTCCTCATCCTCTCTCTCTCTCTCTTTCCTCCTTCTCTCCCTCCTCTCTCTCTTCTCTCTCTCTCTCTCGTGTTTCTCCTGGTCCGTGTGCGTTAGATAAAAGGATTTTACACTGAAGACCTCGCCATGCTTTCTGCAGGGAATGAGTTTTCTTGATACATATTAGACGACAGATTACGAAAAAAAAATCCTGATAGTGGGATGAACAAATGAAAAGGAGAGAGAGGAAAAGAAGGCGAGAAAGGAAGAATGGAAAGAGAAAAAAATGTAAGGTTAAAAGTATGACGATTATAATAACAATAACGCTGTAAGATTATTTTAGAACATAAAGGATAATGGGGCAGTAAGAGTGAAATTACGATAATAATTACGAGAAAAGAAAGCAAAAACGAAGCCATGTATATATATATTTTTTGAGAGGAAAAACAACAGTAGTTTAGATATATAAAAGAACTTATTTTTCCCTAAAAGATACAAGAAGATAGACATTGCTTTTGTCGGATGAGCTGAGGAAGTAATGAAAAAATATAGTACTTTTTCGCTCTTTTCTTTATGTTTTTAACTTTCCAGGTCAGCTCTGTTATGTACCTACGATCCAAGACTTAAAATGTAAAGTTAGAAACCCTCTCTCTTGACTTTTTGAAGAAATATAACAAAGTTTCCCCTTCAATGAAACGCCAAATTTCTTTTCGTATTAGTGTAATCAAATGACACCAAATTATTTACCGAAAAAAAACAAAATAAAACAAAAAATCGCCTTAAATCAATCAATATACTTCAACCCTTACTTAACAATATATATATATATATATGTATATAATATATATATATATATATAATACATACATATTTAAAACAACAACCAGAATTTCGTACTCACCCTAAACAACAACAAAACAAACTCCCTATCATATCGACAAAGTACGAAAAAGGAAATAAAAGAAAACGAACACACAAAACACATATAAAAAAGACTCAATTGTTCGCAGATTTTCAAAGCGCAAAACAAAGAATGAATCTCCACTCAAGTTTCTGTGGGAGTTCGATGCCCGGTGTTCGGATCGCGGAATTCGAGACGGGGTTCGAATCCGATACTCCAATTCCCTCCCTGAATCAGCTGGGGCGGAAAATGTCTCATTAAGACAAATTGTTTGTATCTGTTGTGTCTGTGTTTATTTTTTTGAGGGGGGGGGCTGTTGTTTTTTCTTTGTTGTAGTCTTTTCTTCCGTTACAATGTTATTATTTTTTATGTGTTTCTGGTATGTTCTATCGTCTTCTTTGGATATGTTTATTTTGGTTATAGTCTGCCGCGTCTTCGTTGGTTGGATGTTGTGTTTTCTTTGATTACAATATCTCCTTTAGTTATTGGTTGTAGTATTCATTTTGTAGTACTTTCTTTGGTTAAAATGTCTTCTTGGGTGTAGTTTCACTATTGCATATAATGTAGTATTAGTGTTTCATTTTTTTTCCCTCACTGTATTACAAAAAGTGATATATTACACTGGAATGGAGACTGTCGTACAATTTGTGTTCCATTTGTCGTAAACATGATTTTTTTAACAATATCGATATGGGGAATCGAACACCTCAAATCATCTCCGAATTGCCTTTGGAGAGCACATCTCATAGGGTTCAGACTGTCGAAAGGAAATCAATCCACGCCTTGAAATTATTGCCCATATATATTGCGAATCCAAAGCGATTATCGTTTTATTTATTTATTATCTATTTTTAGATTTTCTTGCTACCTTTTTCTCTTGTATTTACATTTGCATAATATTCCATTTTCTAATTAATATTTTATTCTTTATATTTTTTACATCTAATATTTTATTTAAACTTGTTTCTTCACGGTTGCACAAGAATATTCAAACCATATGAACTATTTTTGTAAAAATAATAACCATCATCATTATCGTATTCATAATTATCACATGCTGTACATAGTAGGATGATAATAACAATTGCAAGGAGAACGATAATAATGATAATAAAGATAAGTTGTTATAATGAGAATGATATTGGTGGTGATAACGATAATAATTATGATAATGAGGACGAGGATAGTATTGATGATAATGATAATGGTAAAATTAATGATAATAATAATCATATCAGTAACAATGATAATGCTAAAATTATATTGACAATAATAATGATAAAACAACAACAACGACAATAAGGGTAATTATAAGTGCTGTAAAGATTATCATCATCATCATAACCACAATCATTTCTTCCTTCCAGACACAAAATCAGATGCTGGTTTAAACTACGTGATTCCAAGGCTCCGATCTGCATTTGGTAACGTACACTCTGCCGTGAAAGGTATGAATGAGAATAAGTTATACCAAACATGATTATATTGTATTAATCATTTAACGGTCACCTCACATGAAATCAAAACGTCAAACTTCTTAAAATACCGAGTTGGTAACCTACGCTTTGATGATATCGGTATAGATAAAATTTAAATATTTCAAAAGACAATTGTAGGAGCTTTCAATTCAAAACCCTTATCATGAATACCCATAACAAAGACAAATGAAATCAAAACGACAAACTTCTTTGGTGAAATATTCATTCCTAATATTACCTGTAACCGTCACTATAAACCTGATCTAACCTCGTTATCTCTCTAAATAGCTTAGTACGGTACACGAGCTATATATTAACTTTGTCTTTCCGTAATATTGGCTCGGATATTCAGATATATTGCGAATTCTGATTAACGGCACAACGAACGCACAAAGGATGGTATAAACTTGGTCGTTTCAAAAGGCTCTTTGTTAGTTGGAGTTGCCGAGGTAACAGTTTCCTATTTTTTTTGTCTGTTTTGTTTCTCAGATAATGTATAATCTTGGATTCCTTTATCTAATTTTTAGTGATGATTTATTTTTGATGATTTACCATTAAACTTGTTTTTTTTAGTGATACATTTTTGGCTTTCTTGTAACGGATTTCGTATAACTTTACGGCCTATGAAACTATCAAAATGCAAATTCATTGTATTCAGAATTTAGAGATAACTGAAGTAAATGTGATCTGATTAAAATTCATAGGAAAAGTATAGATGCATGAGTAACTAGTCCTGATAAGTTTGTAACAATGACAGCTGTGTTTGTTAACCTCGCAATACTTACAGTTGGTCCACGAATAAAATACTAATAGATCTTTTAGTAAATTCTGAGGTCATTGTATTATATGATTTCATAAAATATGCATTGGGTCTGTAACTATGGATAACTCCAGCTATTCGATTTAAAACACACTATATAAATAAAATATACTAGAGACAGAAATTATATCCAAGTAAGATTCACTGAGGTTAGGAAAGGTCATGTAGTATTCTTTAGGCTAATCAGCCCACGTTATCTTATGCAAGAGTCCTTTCTCTGTGCTATTCTAGAAAGTACATCAACGTGTTAAGGTGTTCATGTCTTGCGTAAGTGGGTATGTAACCAAACAAGAGTGCTTACGTTCCTCTTCATCTCACAAACAGAGGAATGACCTGTGCTGGTGATTTTCTACGTGCTCATGTGTCCCTCCTTCTTCACTCTACTTTGCGTGTTCCACTCTTCCTTTTTCTCTACGTGTTGGTGTGTTCGTGTGTGTCAGTCTCCTCAAACTACTCGCCTGTTCGAACTATCAGCCTTTGGACAACCAAAGATGCTTCTACACTCCAGTGCTGTTGTAAGTTATGGCTACGTTGAAGTGATGGTTGTGTTAAAATTAGTTTTATGGTAAGGGTTATAAAGTTATGGTGTCTTGATGTAATAGTTGTTAATGTAATGGTTGTAGTATTATGATTGCGTCGAGTTCTTGGTTGTAATGTAATGCCTGTGTTAAGGTTAATGGTTATAAAGGAACGATATGGGAATGGCATAATGTGGAAGTCATTAATTGATGAGTGAAAAGGGGTCAAGAAGAAAATTCAACTGAAGACAATGACGTATGGAGAAGGTGGTGATGAGATTCATGATGATTTTTTTTTTTTTTTTTGGGGGGGGGGGGTGAGCGTTGATAAGAACGATGGAGAAAGGATGAACAACTGCAGTGATGGTGATACAGACGACAGAAGTGAGATGGAGGGAATGAGAAAGCCAGAAGTGACAGACAGAGGAAGACAGCACGTGCCCCACTAGTGCCTTTTCACACGTCAAGTCCAGGTCCCCGAGGAAGGGCATACGAGCGTGGGCGCCTCCTGGTGCTGCTGCGGGCGTGAGTACTCTTAAGGCTGACAGAAGGAGGGAGGCCGTCTTAGCGGAGTGGTCTCTAGGGGAGGGGAGGGCACCTACCGTCTACCCTCGGGAGTGCTCCTGCCGCCCTCCGCCGACGGGGTGTCCTGAGGGCGTCGGGCCGGGGAGGCCTCGGCCGACGGGACTCCTCCTCCAGCCGCCGGGGATCCGCGTCTTCACATAATCACATACAGAGGTTACTTTCACGCCCGCTGCCCGCCCTCGCCGTGTGAGGGCGGGTGTTATAGCGATGATATATTGATCAGTGTTTCAACCGTCACGTGACCAAAGAAAAGTAAGAGGGAGAGAGAGAAAGGGAGAAGGCGGAGAAAGAGACCGTGAAATCAAGAGAGAGGAAAGAGAGGGGAATCAGGAGAGGAAAGAGCGCGAGAGTGCGAGGCAGTGACCGTCTTCATGACCTTCTTCCCGACTTTACCTTCCTTGGACTTACCCGCTCGTGGAGGACTTAAGCTCAATGGCGTCGAGGTCGTCCTGGGAGCGGTTGAGCTTGCCGAGGGTGAGGAAGGAGTCGGCAAGGACCGCCTTGGCCGTGGCCAGATCGTCCGCCAGGCGAGTCACCATGGACCCCGCGCGCTTCACTGTCTCGTGCAGGCTCACCAGGGACGTCTCCTGCTCGATGTCCGTCTCCATGCGATCCAGGCCGCGCGTCTGAGGGAGGAAGCCGCGGGGGTTAGGGCGCTTGGGCCGGCCTCTCCTGCCGAAGGACGGGGGGGGGGGGGGGGTCGAAGAGGAAGGTCGCATATCCGCAGAGTGTGTTTTGGAGGGAAAAGGGGAAGAGGGGACATCCTCATTCTGAAGGCTGTGACTCTCCGCTGACAACAGCTATGAGGCCTTATTTTGGATAGCCATAAAACTTAATACTGAACAGCTTTAAAACTTCACTCAGAATAGCTATAAAACCTCATTCTGAACAGACATAAAATCCTAAGTTGCAAAGCCTTAAAACCTGATTTTGAAAATCCATAACTTGTTATTGAATGACCATAAAATCTCATTTAGCTAATTTTAAAGCCTGACTCTGAACAGCTATAAATCCTTAGAGGTAAAAAAAAAAAACGC